GCTGGGCTGCCGTGAGTCGCTGGCGACGGCGTGGGCTGCAGCCCCTGCTGCAGTGGGTTGCCATGGGCTACCGTGTGTAGCCAGCAGCTAGCGTGAGCGGCCAGCAGCCGCAGTGAGTGGCCGTCCAGAAGCCGGCGGCTGATCTGCCTCACCAGGGAAGAGCGCAATGATGGTGCCAACTTGAGCCAGTGGGGCAGTGTCCTCCACAGCTAGATTGAGGAACAGGACGACAGCAACTTGTCTGTTCCCCTTCCCCTAATTCCCCAGTACTGTTCCCATCCCCTCAATTACCCAAAAAAAATTTAAAAAAAAAAAAAAAAAAGGTAATGACTGGCAAAGATTTGGAGTTTTTATTTCCTTCTCTTCTAGATTGGGCTGCTCCTCTCTAATTGTGGGGCTGCTTGATTGATACCTGTGATTGATAATAGCTAACTGTTATGGTAAACAAAGGAAAATTTGGGCAGAGAGGGGAGGTCTTTTGGGCGGTTATTTCCCGTAGATTATGTTGGACATGCAGGAATGTTACCTGACGTATCCAGGGGTCTCAGAGACCCAATTTCTGTCTCTAACTGTCTGCCTTATGTCCCCCTTGAGAGACATGATCCCCGTAGATCTCTATCGGAAGTTGAGGGACAGGAGGTGTCTTCTGTATCTGCTTCCTGCTGAATGTGGCCGTTGTTCCTGCCTATTGGGGATTCACGGGACTCTCACCCTATCTGATCTTAGATGAGGAAAAGGGGTCTTAGGATCTGCCTGGAGGACCATGTTGACCTCTGTGGTCGGGATGTACTGGAAGTCTTGGTGGGGCATCACTTGTATCCTAATGGCCCCTAGATGAAGAGAGATGGATTTTACTTAATAGAGTTAAAAGTGTTGGCCCAAGAAGCAGGACTCAAAGCCATTGATGCAGAGTGATGGCCTGATGAGAAATTCATTCAGCTTCATGGAGCCTGGCCTTTCTTCTGGTTTAACTGGCCATTCTGTTATTGTTCACCCCAGAGCTAGGCCTGGAAAGAAAACTGTGCTACAATGACCACAGTCAACAAACATTAATCACAAACTTTTGGGTAAGTAGTTAAAGCAGGGGGTAGGAGATGTCTATGATTCAGGTTAAGAACAATCTATTGTTTATGATTAAGAAACTAATTTGAAAAATGATTACAACCAGGGACTAGGGAGCTAAGACACGAGGGAAAAGGAGTCTTAGAATTTTTATAGCGAGAAGCCCTTTCATTTGGCCTGTATCATAGGGAGCACAGGTGCCAGTCCCATCTCTGCCACTGACACAAGGGACCTCAGGCAAGTCCCTTCCTCTCTCTGGATTTCTTGCCCATGTGTACAAAGTGGGATGTTGGACTAGGTTATCTTCTAGGTCCCAGCTAGTCCTATAATCTGAAGACCTTGGACTCTGCACTTATCCTTTCTGTGACTCAGTTTTCTCACCTGTGCATGGGAATGTGTGTGAAGGAGCCTGGAAGTGGATGCCAACAGTTTATTCCATGTGCACAGCTCACACATCCTGCTTGGTCCTTCACCAGGTCTGCGAAGCAGACTGTGCTGGCCAGTGGCCTATCCTACAGAAGAGAAAATTCACGAGGTCTCCATGGAGCTCTATGTGTCTGAATAGGAGGGCCAAGGACTTACTGGCCTGGGAACCCCGGCTCTCTGGGCCAGTGAGAAACTGGGAGGAGGCTGGGTCCTTAGAGCAAACCATTTCCAGGGTGCTGGGAGTGTGCCTGGACCAGGGCTCCAGTGGAATGTCAGGGATGAACACCTCCCTTGGGGACCTGAAGGAGATTGGAGGACCCCCTGGAAGCTCATGGCCAAAGGGGATCATCACCCTGGGGCCTGGAGAATCCGCCAGGCAGGTGGTCCTGAAGAAGATCCAGGAGCTCTCTGATTTGGTATGGAGGCAGACGAAGGGGAAGACAGGGGAGGGGAGGGGAAGGGATGGCGTGAGGAGCAGAGAGGGGGAGTCCCTACTTAGCACAAATTAACAATTTCTGTTTGTGATTTTATAAGCCAGTTTACTCGGTCTTACTCCAAAGCTCCATTCCGTGGGAGTCGTGGAAAAGTTCTATCCCCTTCTAGTGCCCCCATCACCACTTGGGATTTTACCGTTCCAAGCTACCAGGTTGAGAGTTGGAGCCATCTTGTCCTCCAGTTTGGCCTACAAAGATTGTTGCCCTCTTGTGCCCTGTCGTAAGATTAGAAGATCTGGGCTCAAATCCTGTCTCTGCCATATACTTGCTGTATGACCTTGACAAAATAGTCACATTTTAAAGCCTTTGTTTCCTCATCTCTAAACTGGCAATAACAATAGTACTTACTGCATTGAGCTGCTGTGAGGAGTCAATGAGAACCCACTACCCAGCCTTCCCTCCCTCTCTCCCTGCCCCGGCAGGACCACCGAGACCCCTTCATGGTAGCTGACTTGGGCATACTGGCCAGTCGCCATCAGGTCTTCTGCCAGGCCCTGCCAAGGGTCTCGCCCTTCTATGCAGTGAAGTGTAACAACAGCCCCTGGGTGCTGCGTGTTGTGGCGGCCCTGGGTACCAGCTTCGACTGTGCCAGCCAGGTGAGCCTGCGCCCGCTGCCAGTTGCCTCATTTACAGGTCTGACACTTTCTGGGGGAAAAAAGGCCAATTGCCTAGGGTTCTGGAGTGGATACTGCAGCATCTAGAACAGTGGTGGACACATGTGCTCGATTGTGAAGGAATACATGAATGAACTGGGAGTGATCAGCCTTCCACTGGTCCACATGACAAGTGCAGACAGTCTGAGCTAGAGAGTGAAGGGAACATACGCTTTAAACCACAGACCCTGTCCCTGTCCTGGCCCAGCCATCTCACCTAAGTTTCTTTGTCTTTAAAACGGGGCCAACTATATCTTCCTTAGAGTAGCCTAGAGGCTTAAATGTCACAATGTATGCCCAGAGCAGTGTCAGGTACACAGTAGGGGTTCAGTCAAGAGCAGCCCCTTATGGTCATGGTCCTTGTCCCCAAAGATCAGGGCAACAGTGAGGCAGCCCACTACTCTGGCTGTCACCCATGCCAGGTGGAGCTGAAGCAGGTGCTGAGCCTGGGCGTGGCCCCCTCATGCATCATCTACGCCAACCCCTGCAAGCCTGTCTCCTACCTCCAGTATGCTGCCCGCCACAGGGTGCAGCTCCAGACCTTTGACAGTGAGGAGGAGCTGACCAAGGTGGCCCAGCACCACCCCAAGGCCAGGTGAGACCAGCAGGGGTGCAGGCAGGTGGGGACAGGAGGAGCAAGGGATAGCAAGCTTAGGGCTCCAGCAGGTGAAGTTGGGACTCAGCAATAAGATGAAGGCTGTTACATCCAGTGACTGGGAGAGGTCCAAGCAGCAAAGTATAAGAATTTGGGTCAGGTAGCCCAATGCCTTTCCTGATGCTCATTGGTGGTAAACAAACATTGCCTATGTTTGCACAGACATTGGGCAGAGCCTGGCATTAGGAGGTCTGGCACCAGCCAACCTCATGGAAAAAGCACTCACATTGGAGTTAGGGAGACCAGTGCTCACATTTCAGATTCATGTGTCATATATCTGTGGTCTTGGGAAAATTATTTGATATCTTTGAGCCTGTAACCGGGGGGTCTGCAGAAGGCGTATTTATAATTTTATCTTTTCCTGCTTTTCCTTGCCTGGACAGAAGCCTGTAAGTAGTGGTGTATTCCCTCCTTGGGATCTGTGGCTGGACAGTCCAGAGGAATGAGGCAGGGGTGGGTGGGAAGGGAGAGAGATTTCGGGTGGGGGGCATAAAGCATCCAGGTCTTGGGACTCGTGTGTCTAAGAACCTCTGTCACCCTCACACTCTTCTCCCAGGCTGGTCCTCCGGCTGTGGACCAATGACAGAGAGAGCACCTTCCCCCTGAGCGCCAAGTTTGGGGCCAGCCTGGAGGTACGCGAACACCTGCTCAAGTCCGCCCGAGACCTGGGGTTGGCTGTGGTCGGAACCAGGTGAGAGCACTGGCTTTCCCTGCCTGTGAGGCCAGGGTCCTGGTCTCTAGTGCCTGTTCCCAGGCTTTGACCAACTGGGTGCCCTCCAGTTGGCATGATCTGTCTTGGCCTACCGATGCTTCATTTGTCCTCTGCAAAGAATCTGGATGTTATCTGGGACTAGGGTGGGGCAAGCGAGGCACTGGACTTGGGTGCAAAAATTAAGGGGATGCCAAAAAACCTCATACTCTAGATAATAACATTTTAATAAAGTATTTTAAAAAATCAAAATTAGGGCCAGCCAAGAGGCACAGTTGGTTAGAGCGTGAGCTCTGAGCAACTGGGTCACCAGTTCAAATCCCACATGGGCCAATGAGCTGTGCCGGAGCTGAGCTGCCACTGAGCTGCCAACGGGCAGCTGCATGGCTCAGCTGGTGGGAGCACGTGTTCTTAACAAGAAGGTTGCTTGTTCGACTCCCGCGTGGGATGGTGGACTGCACCCACTGGCAACTAAGATTGACCACGGCACCTTGAGCTGAGCAGCCACGAGCTGCCGATGGGCTGCTGGATGGCTCAGTGTGCAACAAGGTTGCCGGTTCAACTCCTTCATGGGATGGTGGACTACACACACACACACACACACACACACACACACACACACCCTGCAACTAGATTGACAGCGGCAACTAGACTTAGAGCTGAGCTTGCGCCCTCCACAACTAAGATTGAAGGACAACAACTTGACTTGGAGCTGATGAGTTCTGGAAAAAAAACAATGTTCCACTTCCTCAATTCCCCAACACTGTTCCCTTCCCCAATTCCCCAATAAAAATCTTTAAAAAAAATAAAATTCATGCAAAAGTAAAATCCAGGATGAGAAAATATCAAAATTTTAAAGACAGGAATAGCATTTCTGTCTTTTCCTTTTGCCTCCGGGACCAATTACTGTTACCAAATCTTGTCTTTATTTAAAGTTATTGGGTTATCGGAAAAGTCATGATGTATTTTTTTCTATGTTTCCATTGCAAAAATGCGTCATTACTTTTCCAACAACCCAATATTTTTATATTTTATTCATTATAGACATTTTTTGCATTAAATTTTCTTGTTAAAAGTATTGCATTAAATGTTACTTATCCTGATTACTCTGTTTTGAAGGCTCCTTAAATTTTACACCTGAGGAGAGTGCCTCACTTGCCATACCCTACCTGCCCCTGATCTGTTCCTCAGCCCACCCTGCTTGAGGGCTCTGAGATTCGAGGTTCTGATCACATGCTTTCCAAAGAGGAGAAGGGGAACCCTTGTCATGAGGCTTTGGGAGGAGACAGCTAAGAGAGGTGACTACCACACCACCACAAGAGCCTCAACTCTCGTGGATTGTCATGTAGATGTGTGTATGTCTGTGGATATACACGTGTATGCATATAACCAAGGTTGCATGTTTCTGTGGGTGCCCATGTGCTCCCATGTAGTCAACTGTGTCTCAGTGTCTGTATCTGAGCTGGTTCCACATTTTAGCTATGTCAGTGTTTCTGAATGTGTCTCTCTTCCTCCTGACTCTTGTGTTTCCACATGTGTTTCTCCATCTGTCACTCAACATGTGTTCAGCTTCCATGTGGGCTCGAGCTGCCAGAATCCCCAAAAGTTCACACAGGCCATTGCCAACTGCCGGCGCGTGTTCGAGATGGGCCGTGGGGTTGGGCATGACATGAGCCTCCTGGATATCGGAGGGGGCTTCCCTGGAGAGGAGGGCTCCAAACCTGAGTTTGAGAAGGTAAGAGGGGAGAAGGTGAGGGAGCCTGGGTGTCCCAGCCTGGGTTATGGGACAGCGCATGTAAGTGTGTGTGTCCAAGGAGCTTTTGTAACTGAGTCATGTGCCTGCGTGTAACTGGAGTTTGTCTTTGTTGAGAAATCTCTGAGTCTACTTACATAGCCTGTGTGCATATACAAGCACGTGTGTGTATCTGGCTCTGTGACTTTCTTTGGATGTGTTAGTTACTATCCCTGGTTAAGCTACAGTCAGACAGAAGCTTGGTTACTATCCCCCACTCGGGGGGAACAGCCCATCTTTGCTGTTTATGTATTGACTGAAATGGTTGCAAGTTCAGACTGTCAAGGTGCCACAGCCAAACACTTGCTGTGTGCTCTTCGACAACTTCCTTTTTCTGGGCCACAGTCTCAACCTGTTTTCTCCCCCAATAAAATGGGGGTGATGACACCTTTCACAGTGTTGCCACAGAAATGAAGAAAGACAACGAAGGTAAAGGCCCTGCATAGGGACTGGCCTTAGAGTGGTTGGGTCTGTCTCCGCAGATGGCCAGAGTGATCAATGCTGCCCTGGCCCAGCACTTCCCCGAGGAGACTGGTGTTGAGGTCATCGCAGAGCCTGGTCGCTTCTACGTGGCATCTGTCTGCACAGCTGCTGTCAACATCATTGCCAAGAAGGCTGTGCTGGAGCCTGGTAGGTGTGCCAGGACTGGGCAGGGTGGGTGCTGTCCAGGTGTGTCCCCAAGCCCTAGGTGCCTCAGCGGGCAACAAGCTTCGAATTGGCAATAGGAATGAACCTGTTAGTATCACTATTTTATCGTTCTTAAATAGACTGAGGGGTAGAGAACGAGGGCCTTCATTCTTCCTGAGTAGACAATGAGTTTGTATTGCGTTTATAGAGGCAAAGTCACAGAAGACACAGACACCACTGTGCTGCTGTGTTCTCTAACAGGTGCAAATTCTTATAACCAAAAATATAGCGAGTAAATACAAATTCTTACAACAAATATATGAAGGCAGTATTGTCATTATCATGGCCTGATGGTTAAGGGTGACATCTGTAGGGTAACAGTAAACCTTCAAGGTCAACCAACCCAGGAGACTTTTTCAATTATTTGTGTGTTATTTTCGGGGCAGGAGTAGGGTGGGGTTGCTGTTCTCACAAAGGGAGCTAAGCAGAAACTCAAGTTCATGATGAGATAGAGATGGATTAGTGCATTTTACTCTGGGGCTTTATGATAACTGACAAATATTTCTAAATCATTAATCTCCATCCCTCTTTTGACCCACAGCTTTGCAAGCCCAAAGGCACCTATGTCCACTGATTTCATTTGCTCACCAAGCGTCTCGTTAGAGAATATTGTGATATGGGACATATGATTTAAGCCATTATTTAGCGAAAGTCTAAGTTATAAGTGTTTGGATATTCATTTATTTATTTGGGAACAATGTCTTTCTCCAGGACCCATCAGCTCCAAGTCACGTAGTTGTTTTCCATCTAGTTGTGGAGGGCGCACCTCAGTGGCCCATGTGAGTATCGAACCAGCAACCTTGGTGTTATGAGCACTGTGCCCTGCGCTCTAACCACCTGAGCTAACCGGCTGCCCCTGGCTTATTATTTTTATTTCAATAGCAATGCTGCCGATTATTAAGCACCTATTATGTGTGAAATACGTATATTATTTCATTTTTGCTCAAAGATTCTGTGAGGTAGTTTGGGATCACTTCCATTTTATAGGTAGAGATTTTGAGGCTCAGAGAGAATAAATGACTTGTCCAAGGCAGCAAAGCTAGTTCATGACACAGCTGGACCCAGACCTGTCTGACTCAGGTAGTGGTACACTTGTACTTACAGCCATGCCAAACAGAGCTAAGCTCTAAGCCTATGGGCTGTCATGACCAACTCTCATGACTAACAGGCTTAGCCACAACTGGGGCTGTGGCCACAGGAGGCAGGATCGGTGATGACAGCTGGGAGAAAGTGGAGGATGGAGGTGACTGACGCCTGGGAAAAGACCCAGGCAGAGAAAAATCAATATTCAGAAAGATAAAATGCCCACATGTTATAATGCCCCAAATGTTCACAGAAATTAGTTTAAAATATTCAAGAGAGCTATATTCTAAGGACAGACTAAGAATGATTGTGAAGAAACTGGCTTGGTAGTAGGTGATGTCCAAAATATCTGGGGGTTGTAAGTGACCACCAGCTCAATATGCATTGGGAGTATGATGGAACTCAGGCGAAGCCACCACATGCTTACTTCAGCAACATTACTAGAGGCAGAGTATTTGATGGAGGGACGTGAGAATCGCGCTGTCCTCTGTGCTTGTCAGAGTTGGACACTGGTTTTCAATGTAACTGGAATTTGTTTTAATCAGGTAACGTAAGACATGCAGACACGGAAATCACTGTCTTAAAGGGAGACGTTTTCACTCGTAGTTCTCTAGAAACCAGAGTATAGCATTCCATGCAGGCCATGTGGAGAAGCACCAGGGTGGGTTAGGAGGCAGGAGAAGAGGGAAGGCATGGCTGAGAGCCTTTTTGTGGTTTTTGAGGGAGGGAATGGGAGAGGCAGCTAGGCAGGCTTGGGATTGGCTAGTTTGAATAATTTCAGTGGGTTCTGGGAGGTAAGGACTTCCCCTAGTTTCCTGGTCCCTGGCCTTGGGGTGGTTAGAGCTGGAGGATAGTGGTTCAGCCTATGAGAGCTTAATAAGGGAAGTAGTTGGCAGGTATAGACCCTGGACTGGCTGCTTTGCATGTAAAGGCACACTGGCAGGGCTGTATTTTTCTGTCTGTAGGAATTAGTCAGCCCATGGAGGAGCAGTTGCTCCAGGGTTAGCACAGCCCCAGACACCAGAACATCAAGAATAAAGAAAATAGGGGTGACCCGTTAGCTCAGTTGGTTAGAGCGTGGTGCAGATAACACCAAGGTTGTCAGTTTGATTCCCCTCATGGGCCACTGTGAGCTGCGCCCTCCTTAAAAGAATCAACTATGCCATTGTAGCATGAAAGCAATGTATAACCAATGACCATGGCTGTTCCCCAATAATATTCAGAAGAAAAAAAAAGAGTCAAGAAAAAAAAAATATCGTTAAGACAAGCACCCTTTTGAGGAAGGAAATGAACATTAGCATATCCCTAAGGAGCACCCATAAATGAATCATGTTGTAAAAATGCTGTTTTCTCCTGGTTTTGCATCACACAGAAGTTGCTCAGGGAACCTGGTCTAAGGTGAGGGCAGAGGACCTGGGACCTGACCTGGGGACAAATCCCAGCCCTGCACATTCTCCTGTGTGACTTCTAGCAAGACTCAGCTGTACAGTAGGGCTCCTTGTGTTCAGAGTATAGTTAGGAGGATTAAACAATTTAATACATGTAGAGAGCTTAGAACAATGCCTGGGCCATAGCTCTTCATATGTTAGTTATATTATTATTAGTAGCAGCAGCATTCTGATGGGGAGACAGTGGGAGCCCAAAAAACGGGCCATAACCACACATTAGATCAGGGAAAACCCCTAGCGCAGGAAACAGGGATTATCTAGTGGCAGAGGATCTGGGCCACACCCAAGGGTGCTGGGCTCAGTGTTGAGGGTCAGTGGTGAGGCCTGGCTGAGCACACCTCAGTCCTGCCCTCTCCCCACTCCCAGGAGGCTACCGGAAACTGTTGTACTATATCAACGAGGGACATTACGGCACCTTCCGTGTCTTCCTCAGGGAGCCAGTGCCCAGGACGCCCATTGTGGTGAAGGTAAGGGGGCCCTTGTGTGGCTCTGGCACCTCCCTGGCCCCCACAGCACCGAATTCAGCCCTTTGCCCTGAGAGGCAAGGGTGCCACGTGGAGAGGGGAAGGGTCTCAGATTGTCGATGGCTGTGCAGATTGTCATACCACGTGCATGTACAAGGATGTGCAAACATGTGTAGCTGCATATGCACATCTGTGTGCGTGCGTTTCTTTGGGTGAGCCTGTCAATTTACACCTGTGCAGGTAGGTGGATGGACAGGTACACAGGTCTGTGTGGGTGTGCGTGCACATCTATTTGGCTCTGTGTGTTTCCATATGCTCTCTCTGTATGCACTGTGTGTTTGTGTTTCCAGAATCTTTGAATATTGGAGATGCAGGAGACCTAGGAAGCAGGGACCCTCAAACATTGCTTCACATTAGAACCATCTGGGCGTCTTTGAAAGACCCCGATGCCTAGGCCGTGGTCCAGACTATTTATTAAAAACAGAATTTCTCATGGTGGGGACCCTGGCATCAGCCCTTTGTTAAAACTCTTCAGGCAATTCCAATGTGCAGCCCAGTTTGAAGCCCAATATTTTGAGTGATATTCAAATAAAATCTTCCCATTTTATACATGGGAAACTGAGGTCCCATTTGTTTCTGCCCTTGTGAATTGGTACGACTGGAAGATGTCACTCCAATATCAGCTCTGTGGGGGCAAGGTCAAGAACAGTGCCTGGCAGTTAGGGACTGCTCAATAATTGGTCAGTATGGGTGACTGACAGTGTCCTTGCTGGTACCTTTTCACCCATGTCTGGGGGCACACCCTGCTGGGTATAGGATGGGGGGGACCGTGTGGAGGGGATGGCTCCTCCTTCTCTGATACCTGACCCCCGTGTCCCTGCAGGAATTCTGCTCAGAGCAGCCCACCTTCCCCTGCATCCTCTATGGTCCCACATGTGATGCCGGTGACAAGCTGTTCATGGACGAAGTGCAGTTGCCTGAACTGGATGTGGGCGACTGGCTTATTTTTCCCTCCATGGGCGCCTACACGTCCGTCATGAGCTCCACTTTCAATGGCTTTCTGCCTGCCTCCATCCACTATACCATGGAACCTGCACTCAGGTGTCTGGGGGGAGGGCTTTCACCAGGATCTGAGCTTGGCACAAGGGCTGGTGGCTGAGCTCTGGGGTCCCAGGCCGAGGAAATACCCTACTCCCCGCACTGGCCCCAGCAAAGGTCTGACTCACCTTTGACACTGTCAATGAGATTGACCCTGTTACTGCCCCTCCCCAGGTAGGTCCGAGGGAGCCCACCTGGGCGGCTCTGACAGCTCTGAAGTGTAGATGCTTATGTGGGCAGAAGCAGGCAGCCCTATGGCCCCAGCTGACCCTAGTCCCATGGCCAAGCCCCCACTCTGCTCTGACCATGTGGAGCTGCTCCCCAGTTTCCTCATCAGATGTCCCTTCCCTACCAGCCTCAGGCTCCCTCACGGCCTCTGCCCCAACCTAGGTTTCCTTCCCTGAGATGGTGGAGGCGGCTCTAGAATACTCCTTCACTGGCACAATTTTTCCACAGGAGCCTGCTGGAGACAGCGCCTTAGTCTGGGACATGGCAGAATTAAAGGGCTCCAGACACCTGGGTGCGTCCACACGGGGAAGGTTGAGGGCGGAGGTTGGGGTGGGGGTGGGGAAGAGTAACATGGGACCAGCAGGGGTTTGGGTGCTTCTGAAAGGATGAGGCAAGTTTTAAGGTTCACAACTGTTTTTTCTCCCAAAGTCAGCCTGAAGCCTAGGCTAGCAACCTCTGGGCAGCCGACCCCACCCTCCCTGCTCCTTACCCCTGGGCTCTGGGGTGGGGTAGGGCTGAGAAACTTGCGCTATTGCAACGAGTGCCCCCTGGGGCACGTCCCGGAATGTGAGGCAATCTGCATTGGCCAGGACCTTGAGATTCTTTTGTCTTTCCTTTCATTCAGTTAGTGACCCCTGCATTGCTCCAGAAAGGTTTACAGGGAACTATAGGCACCCACTCAAGTGGTGAGAGCACTGGCTTTGGAGTCACACAAGCCTAGAGTGAATCCAGGCTCCACCACAAACTGGCAGTGTGGTCAGAGCCTCAATTTCCCCATCTGTGGAGTGAGGATGATATTAGTATTCTCCCCGCAAGGTTGTTGACAGGATTAAGTCAGATAATGGGAATCCTCATTCGAGGTCAGTTCACGTCCAGGGCCCTGCCTCTGACTGGCCCCGATCCGGGGCCCCTCCTGCTCAGCGACTGCTCCCCACCTCATGACCTGGGTGTCCTCATGGAGCATGCACAGCATCTGCCACACAGCTAATGGGCCAGGCATGTGGGTGCCTCAGATCTGGTCCTGACCTTACGAAACCCCCAGGTTAGGAAGTGTGGATATAGCCGACTCCAAAATAAGGCAGATGCTATTGTGTGTTCCCAGGCACACTAAAACTTTAAAAACAATATTTGGTAAGTTCTGAGATCAAAAAAGAATATGTCTTACAAGAAAGGATGTTGGCAGATGTGGGGATAGAGAAACATTAGGATGACCAGTCAAGTTTTCATAGGGAGTGAAGGGAGAGTGGACCCCAGCAGTCAAAGCCACTTACCTCCTGTGTCCTGTGTCCTTTTTAAACTTCACCTAATGAGACATCTCTGATCCCCAGCTTCTGCAAATGGTCCTTCCTATCTATCAGAGTCAGCCCCACCAATCTTGCTGCTGCCTCTACCACTCAGCCAAGACCAGAGGAATCTTCCATCATCCTTGGGATAAAGAGATTTCTTCCTCGGAAATCTGAGAAGGGAAGGGCTGCAGGTGCCATCCGAGGAAGCCAGGAGGGTCAGGCAGCGTTCAGATTGTGTGTGTTAGTAATTCGTCTTCTCCCAGAGCCAGAAATTGGGGGTGGAAATGTCCACCCTTACCCCCTCAGAGGTGTCTGAAAGTACAAATATGAGTGGACTTTAGGGAAACATAAAGATTTATTCATATGCAAGAGCTGTTAGTGTGTTTTGTGTTGTCCTATGGGTGCTGTCCTGAGGGATCATGAATACCTATCCATCTGTCTGTCCATCCATCCATCCATCCATAAAATAAAATGTGAAGGCCACGTCTGTGCCCAACACTGTTCTAGGTATGGGTGACACGTGATGAACACGATGGGCAACAACCCATGCTCATGGAACTTACCTTCCAGTTGGGAAAAGACAGAGCAGAAACAAACCCATAAAATAAGTGATAAAAGGGAGTGGAAGCAATAAGTGTTGTGAAGAAAAATAAAAGTGGGCAAGGGGATAGTGAAGAATAGAGGACAGTGCTATTTTAGGTAGAGGAGGCTGAGGAGGCCTCTCTGAGAGCTTGGCATGTGAGCAGAGACCTGAAGGGAGCCAAGTGTTTAGCTGGGTCAGCGTTCCAGTATTAGAACAGCAAGCCCAAAGGCTGTCTCCTTCCAAAAAAGGCAAGGAGACCCATGTGTGTGAGCAGAGTTGAGTGAAGGGAGCTTTGGGGAGATGAGGCAGGAGGAGGGTCCAGGGTGTAATCTTGCCAAGTCTGTTGTGAGTCAGGGCTTTGGCTTTGTTCTGAGGGGGAGGGTAGGCCCTGGTGGTTTGAGCAGGTGAGCGCAGTGAGAGGATGCAGAGAGCTGGAGGGGACTCCTGCCAATCCCCGCAAATGCTGAGTGGTCATGGTGCAGGTGGTGAGCAGGAACAGGCTGTAACAGTTGAGTCAAGAGAATTTGCTGGGGTGACCGGTTAGCTCAGTTGGTTAGAGTGTGGTGCTGATAACACCAAGGTTGCTGGTTCAATCCCCACATGGGCCACTGTGAGCAGCGCCCTCCTTAAAAGAGTCAACTATGCCATTGTAGCATGAAAGCAATGTGTAACTAATGGCCATGGCTGTTCCCCAATAAAATTTTTTTAAGAAAGAGAGAATTTGCTGAGGGGTTAGATGTGGGGTGTGGGCAGAGAAGATTCAGGAACAACTCCAGGGCTTTTGGTCAGAGCAGTATACAAATGGGGACGCTGGGGAGGAGAAACAAGTTAGGCGGGGTTCAAATTGAGATTTCAGTTTTGGACAAGTGAGGTTTGAGAAGACTATTCAACTGCCAAATGGAGTCAGAGGCGAGCATCCAGTTTCAGGGCAGAGGTCAGATATGAACATGGGAGAGAGAGATGAACATGAGCACCATCCACCCTGGATGGACTTGACGTCTCTGGGGCGGGCAGCCCAGCCCAAGCAGGAAGTGTGAGTCGGTAGAGAAGACGCAAGTCATGGAAACTAAGAGAAGAAACACATTTCAACAAGGAGGGAACCCTCCACTGTGGGTGGAAGAAGTGAGGGCTGAAAATGGAATTGGGAAACTGGAGGTCATTCGTGATCTTTACCATGGGGTTTCAATGCCAAGGAAGGTTGTGGAAGTGGGGTCCAGAGGGGATGGTGGGGGAGGGGTGGGAATAGATGAGTGCGGACACCTCTTCCAGGGAGCAAGAAATAGGAGGGTGGCTGGAAGAAGGGCAGGTAGGGTTATGGAGGGTTTAAGATGAGAGGTATTATTGCTTGTTCGTTGGCTCATGGGAGGATTGATAGAGGAGAAGATGATGAAGATGCAGAAAAGAGGAGAGAATTCCAAGAGCAAAATCCTTAGGTGGTGGTGGTGGGGGCGGTTAGCATCCTGTGTGCAAGGGGAGGGTGTGTCCCAGATGGGAGCTGGGACAGTGCCTCCCAGTATAGGAGAGAATGTGGAGTCAGTGAGACAATGTGGAGTCCTCTTCTGATTGTTTCTCTTTTCTCAGTGAAAAAAGAACCAAGGTCATGGCCCGAGAGAGAAGAGGCAGGAAGGGGACTTGGTGTTTTAAAGAGGGGGCAGGGATGGAAAAGTCACAAGAGTGGGAGAGTGAATGAACCAGTGAAATGGGGTTGCACTGCTCGCCCAGGTGCCCATGTTCAATTAGACGGGGGCAGGTGCAGAATTGGTGTGGGTGAGTGGGGTGGGGGAGAGCCATGGGAGGTGGAGACTGCTTGGAGTATGAGGTCTTCATGGGGGTCTCCACAAGTGCAGGGTCCACCTACAGCTGGCCACCCCAAGGCTTTGAGGCCCCTGCAGTACACAAAGCCTTTTCCTGACCCTGTATGCTGTCCATTCTTTATCTGCTGGAGACACATAGGACCTATGAGCGCATAATGACACACCACTTCAAAGAAGGAAATTCCTCTGGACCACCTACCTAGTAAGTGGCAGAGCTGGGATTTGAATTTAAGTGTCAGTTCAGTGTTCCCCCTTCTGGGCAGCAGGGGCATGCGCACTATGTTTAAGAAAGTCTTGCATCCCAGGTGGTGAAAATAAACAAGCTTGGCTGTTGGGGCATTACACTTCAGGTGTTTTGTGCCCTGGGTGGCCCAAGCTTTGTCACGGTTCAACCATAGTGACTTGCTGCCCCTCACTGGTCATTATCAGGGTTGCATCCAAAGAAAAGTTGGATTTGCTTAGCTAACTAAGGAGCCTGCCTGGCTGAGTCCAGCCATGCATTATGGAAACGGGCTAAGAGGCGTTCTCACTCCCCTTGGACAAACGAGAAGATGGAGATCCAGAGAGGCAACTTCAAAAAGCCATCTGCACTTGCCTGCTCTATACATTCAGTTGTTCATCCATCCAATAGATATTCATGAAACACATCCTCTGTGCCAGGTACTGTTGTAGGCACTGGGATTTAGCAGGAAATAAGACAGGAGAGACCACTGCATTTCTAGAGCTGCCATTCCTTGTGGGGGAGAAGGAGGAAAGGACAGATACTAAACTAGTCAATAAACCAGAGGATAGATTGTGATGAATGCTGTGAAGGAATTAAAAGAGAAAGTGGCTGGGGCCGGCTGAGTGGCTCAGTGGGTTAAGAGCGCAAGCTCTAAGCAACAGGGTCGCCGGTTCGATTCCCACATGGGCCAGTGAGCTCTCCTGAGCTGAGCTGCCGCTGAGCTGGCAACAGGTGGCAAGATGGATCAGCTGGTGATAGCATGTGCTCCTAACAAGGTTGCCAGTTCGACTTCTGCATGGGATGGGGGCTGCACTCCCCCGCAACTAAGATTGAACACCACACCTTGAGCTGAGCGGCCTCGAGAGGCCAGATGGCGACTGGACTTAGAGCTGAGCTAGCTGCACCCTCCACAACTAAGATTGAAGGACAACAACTTGGCTGTTCCCCTTCCCCAATTCCCCAATAAAATCTTTAAAAATAAAAGTGAGAGAGACAGAGTGATGGGCGAGAGTGGTTGGGAGAGAACATTTGAGGAGATATCTAATGGCTGGGAGGCTTAGGGAAAGACCCCCCAGGAAGAGGGATCAGTACTGCAAAGGCCTTGAGGCTCTGGAAGGTATGGGCAGGTTCCAGAACAGATGAAACCCATTGACGTCTCAGCCCATGGCTATCCATGTAGAACATGTAGAGATCAGAGTGGAATGTTCTCTTAGGAAAGTTATGCCATTGACCTTCTCTCAATCAGTCCACAGCCTCTCTCAGCCCACTCTGTCCTTGAAGCTCTCTCCTCTCTTGGCTTGTGTGACACCAACTTCTGGAGGTAGGAAAAAGTATTCTCCTGTGAAAATTAAAGCTTAACAATCAACATAGAGATGCTACTGGTTTGAAGGAACCCACTGACATATTGAAAGCTAGAGCAGGAAACACTGGCATGTGGCGTCAAAAGTCAAGGTCGACATTTCCAGGACCTGGGACAGGAGCATGTAGGGGAGGATTAGTTGACTGAGGTGTAATCAGTCTTGGTTGTAGTTGTTGCCATGTTATAAGTGTGTATTTGTGACTCTGTCCACTGCTAATGGTGAGCCTTCTTACAAGTAAAATGAATATTTATGTTTGCTTACATAGTATGAATATGCCTTATTCAAATCCTATGAGTAGTGTTCTAAGAAATAATACATTTTGGGAGCAAAATAATTCCCTAATTTAGCAATTTCGACATGTTACTCCAACACTACCCAACTAATGTTAGCTGGTGAGGAATGAGTGAAGAAAACAAGATGAAGTCATTTATAGCTGAGCTGACTTAAAATGGCGTCTGTATAGTGAAGCTGACAAAACTGGTTTTGACGGAAGGGGCTAAAGCATAAGCAATAGATTTTATTTTACTTTAACTAGCTTGAGGACTTACACTTTGGAATTTTTCAGTTGTGCGTCAATGCCTGGAGATATATAAATTCCTCTAGATAACCCTCTGAAGGACTTCGGAAAGAATGAGGAACTAAGGGAGGAATGTTCACATGTCCAGACAGTCTGACATCCATTATTCAGATCATCGGGTCATCTGGAAGATTATCATCTCTGACCAATGCAGAGGCTAAGAATGCAGGACTGATTCTCAAAAATTTGCTTTTTGCTCTCAACTTTTCTCTTTTCTTCAGAACATCCTGAGTCTTACCTGGTAGTGTTTCTAATTCTCAAATCCTAAGACCCTTGAATAAAACTTTGCCATTTTAAATCTCAGCAAAGACTCCTGATTCATTTACGCTAGGTCACCACTGGCATTTTCCAGTGTTTGGATATTTTCTATAGGCTACAGTTCTTTGTAAGGCAAAATATTTCATCTGAAAAAAAGAAAATTCTGTGAAGTGATGTATATACTAATACACAGCTTGAAGATGTGTTTGGACATACTCTGAATTCAACCAGCATCAGTGCAAAATGAAAGAAGTTTTTCTACATCTGAAACATTTATCATTAAAACAAAAACCAGGGTAATTAATACCTTGTGTTTTAAATTTTCATTTTGAGACTAACTTTTAAATAATAAATGTTTGTGATATTTCATTTTAAAAATAATTTTCATTTGGCATTTACTTTGAGTTAATGTTCTCCCTTTTTAATGATTTTTATTATCAA